ATTTTAAAAAGATAATTAAGTAAGTGGGGCTTTTTTTCAATTTTAGTAAATCACAGAATGTACAATTGCCTCTTATTATTCATGATGAATGTAAATAATAATAATAAATACCAGGAACAAGTCATGCACACTCATCTAGCCCCAAATTAGGATTCTTTGTGTAATGAGAACCATAGACTGACATATTATACTTATGGGTGATTATACAAAAATTGGGTAACTCTATGTCATCAGCCAATATATACAAAGTCTTATTATATTTTATTGAAATACCAATTTATTTTAAAACAACGAAACGTCCTTTATTTGGTCACCCAATTTCACTTCTTTATTTTAAATACAAGTTAGTAAAAAAACCAAATTAATACTTAAAACGTCAGTCCTTTGGCATGTCACAATCNCAAAAGGGATGAGGGTTTTTTACCAATTTAAGGATAAAATGATGTTTTCGAAAATATACATGTTTCCATTGTTTGTTGATTACTTGAAATTTTAAGTAAAACTAAGTAAAAGTAGTAAAAGCTAAGTGAATAACTTTACGTTAAATTTCAAAAGGCTGTATTGAAAATTGAGATAGTATTTTCTCCCAGTATTACATATTTATAATATTAATAATTATTTTTAATTGTTACTAAGTGATTATAATACTTAAAAGACATGTGCCATTATTATTAAAAATAAGAGATTTGTACTATTTTTTATTAAATTTCATTATAATTCTTACAAAATTGTGTATTTTATCAGTACTATGTTAGCCTCGTCAGTCCCCTGGCAGTCAAATTCAGAAAATTTTCAATATCTCACAATCTATTTAAAAAAGTGACTGGCCCGATTTGGAAGAAGATAATCATTAGATTAGCCATCATATACACCCAAATTTGTAACAATTTGATTTAATAACTATAGTAAACAAAATATCCTCAATAGTTACCCAACTTTTGTATAATCACCCTTATATATGTTTTTTTTAAATACTAATATACACACTACATAATAAGCACCCATATTAAGACCAAACAAACCTGTTCATCACACGAATATTTGCCCCTTGTGGGAATCGAACTGTGATTACCCTAAACCACTTTGTACACCAATTGACTTGTAACTGGATCTGACAGCAGCCACAAGCCAGTGGACAAACCCCGAATTATATAAGAAGAGTAACAGATAAAGAGGTAATTTAAAAACTGTGCCAGTCTAGGAATGCAATATTCAGTGTTAATAACTAATGAATTTATAGTGTATCATAATCTAACAGCTACTCTAATTATTGCATTTTACTTTCTATATCATCTAGTAAAATCAATTTAGTTTTAGTTTTGCAATCTGTTTTGATTTTATTGTAATTGTAATTCATCATAATATCCTTATAAAGAAGCTAGCTGTCAATTAAGAGAACAACCACTAAAATATTGACAATTGGGAAATTATTAATTCAAGGTATTATTATCATTCAATAAAACTGGCATTTTACTAACAAAAACCTTCAGGTGAATATTTTATTAAAAGTCAAAAATACCTCAGGTTGAGATGCTTCCGGGGTGCTACTAGAATCTTCTTGTGTATTCAATATATTCAAAGGACACACATCTTCCCCTCCTTTTAATTTAGATATTACATTGGCCAATTCTTCTCTGTTCCTGTAACCAAAAGTCTAATGAATATAAAATTTTCCATGTTCAATAACCATAATTTATTCATGATCATAAACCATTCGCAGATTATCTCCGATAAGTAATGTATATTCTAATGAAGAAGAAGCTATCTCATGTTCAGTTGACTTGTAGTTTGGTTTTATAGGACAGTTTCGTGAATTACTGCTCTGTTTAGTTTTCAAGTTTTATGTTAAGGCCACAAAGGTACACAGCAACCCCAATATAACAAGGATTAACATTTAATAAAAAAAAACAAACAGGACTTGAAGGACAAAATATAAATGTTGATAAATTAACTCTAGTTCAATAATTTTTATGTTTTTTTTTTTCATTTGAGAGATAATTTACATTCTGCACTTATATGTATGTATGTATTCATAAAAAATGTCTAAAATTTTCAGTTTATTTTAAAACATTAGATGACACTCAATATTATTACCTAGCCACTAGTTGCCATGTCTCCTCATCTTGGTCTTCTTTATACAGACACAAGTTTGCTTCATGGTCAACTTCCAACCAATACACACAGCCATTCTTGTCTCTTCCTATTGGATCTAAGCGCAGTTCCTTGCAGGATATTGCATTGACTGCAGTTTTGAATTTTAGGTGACATGTGAATTGATACTCTAGTAATATCTGAAAATGGTACAATTATAGTTCAATATTTATAACATTAAATCAAGGTCTAACAATAATTTTAATAATTTTATTTTTAAGTATAATTTTTTGTGGGTGGTAATGAATTGCACTTATCCTTTCCATTACATTACAAACATATTTATTTAGTGTAGTCATGTGAACATCTATTCTACAACAAAATAAGAGTTTTGAGTAAGTGTTGATAATTTACCTTTAATACTTTTAGTTTTACTTGTGTGCTAGCTTTCTTGTATGTGAATCTTTCGATTTCCCACGCCTCTTGATGATGTCTTTGTTGGTGACAGAATTTTATCAGACACTTCTCCCATCTGCTGCTCAAAACAGATTTTTGAGCGCGACGTAGCAGTCTCAAATGTAGATCTTTCAACGGTTCCGCGACTAACAACAAAAAAATCCTAATTAGATGTTTGTTTATCATTGAGCGGGTGTTGTAAACGACAACACTCACCTTCCTGCGTGTCTTCGATGTAATCCTGCAATTTAGTTATACTAGGCACCACTAAGCCGTACAACTTTCCGAATACTTTTAAAAACGAATAAATAACAGCAAAATTAGGATCATTCGTACACAAAATTTCACCGTCAGACGCCATCGTCCAACTCAAATCACTTTTTCACTCAACATGATTATAGTGTTCTATACACCCATATATAATTATTTCACTTATAACTAACGAGCAATTGTATAATATATACATGATTCACGAAAATAATTTCATTTCTTAAAAGACATAAACCTTGATTTCATTAAATTTTCGACTGCCTAATATAACCATAGATTATGACAGCCATCGCTCCATAAACAATAACAAGTTTATTTTTTATAGTTGGAACACTTGGAAGTTAGAATCCGCCGACAAAGATGCAAGAATAAAGGAATTAAAGGGCAATCTAAAGATTATGAGCATTCGTGTCAAGCGCTATGACTGTGCCGGTATTTGAATCCTGCAGTTAGACAAAAAAAATCTAATGAAATACGTCTTAACAAATTCTCAGAAATGACTTTCAATGTAAAACTTTGAGACTTCGAACTCATGTCTTACACCGGTCACTCACATGCGCACGAATACGCAAACCCGCAAGTGTAGGACGACATTTGCAAATGATTATGCAAAGTTTTCGCTGCATTCGTGGTTTTCCAAGCTGTGTCGGTTTTTTAACAGACATCAAAGCGCGCGAACCGCGAACCTTCGCGTAGTCTCCCACACATTCGTTTGCCCAGTTGCGCCGACGATTGCGAAGGTAACGGACGTATCGCCATTTTCATAGTTCGTGACGTCTACTGTGTAGCGAATCTTCATCAAAATAAATCCCATAAAATCAGCATGGCTGTTAATGATGTCTGGGAAAGAATTCAAAACTCTTTTTCTCTTCAATGTTCTATTGACGAATTAAAAAGGAGGAGAAATTCGTGACGGGTAGCGGCTTTACGTTGTTGATGTCTATGGGCTCTGGTAAGCGCTCTAACACCAGATGGGTCGTCCGAAATGAGATCTTTCACTTATTTGAGCAATAAAAAACTTTTTTTAGTCGGTTTCAGTTACGCATGCTATAATATTTTGTTTCAAATCAATTCTCTGCTTTAAAATTTCTCGTATGAAATATACTTTTTGGCTTAAGCCGGAACCTTTATTTTATTTTTAGCTAAAACAGAAATCTCGGGGACAATAATCAAAATTATGGAATTATGAAATAGACTCCATTTCATCTGTACCTAATCGATTTTTTTCTAATTAATCTAGATATTTTCATAGTGAATAATAGAATTTATTATAGGTTGAAGCGTTTGAAGTAAGCGTTGCTTTACAAAATACGACGCCGAGTATTAAATCCTACCGGTGCCGCGGTGGATCTTTAAATTATTTATGTAACTGAAGTTTAGCTTCATTGAATACGTTACTACTTACACTGAATGCCCTTCTCTTACAATGCAATTTCTACTTTCTGACTTCTCGGTAAGTTCTAAATAATGATTGGAAGGAACTACAAACTAGTCAAGTACATCAGGTTCAGGAAATCGAAGTACCCAAATTAGTTCCCGTAGAACCCTGTCCCTGTAGTAGAACATCCTACAAAAAACTATCTAGTGGTCTGTGTGTATGTATAAATTTATACCTTGTGGAATGTGGGCTGTGGTATAGCATAGGCAATCCACTGATATTAAGTGTATTATCTATGCCACTTATAATATATCAATCATTATGGACTTTTTGGCGGGAACGCGAGGAGTGAAGTTGTGTGATTTGGTTTATTTTGTCTATTTACTGTTTCTTCAGATTTAAATGTGTAATAACGGTGGTTTATAAACTGTTTAATATCTGTGAAAGTGCACAAATGTGGGAAAATGAAACAAAGCACTGGACGTCATTTCTCGGGATCCTCCAAAAAGTCCACTGAAAAAATCTCAGTAAATGACCACCATTTTACTGAGATTATATTTCATCCCATATCATCTCATTTCATCTCAGTTGATTAATGTCTTAAATTAATCATCTTCATTACATTTCATTTCACACCATATTATCATTTTTCATAAAAATAAGAATATAAATTAAAATAAGACCTGACTTAAAGGTCTCAGTTACCAGGTCATAAAATCCCTTAAAAAATGATCATTTTCCAAATAAGATATGACCTAAAGGTCTCTGTTACCACGTCATAAAATATAAAAAAAAATCTGTGGGAGTGAGAGAGTGTTTAGTTTCTTTACTCTAGAATAGCTAGTTTCACGGGAATTTGTGATAAAAATAGTTTATTTAGCAAATTATCCTAGCATTTATCTACGATGTCGTCTGTATGCTGTGGAACTAAAAAACAAAAACTAAATCATTCTTATAGTAACAATGTTGATCGACCTTTGAATGGTTACCACGATTCTGTAGCAATACTCGATATGTGTTATTTTTGTTTTGATGTTTTATACTGCCAGTTACACAGTATGGAACCACCGCAGACGCCCAAATTCACAAACGAGGCCTAGTAAGTTTTCTATTTAGTTCGTAGGCTGCTTAAGTCTAACTCTATGAGGCAACGTTTCATTCTTTTGTGTTGAATGAGGTCATTCAGCTGACTGAAAGTTGTTAAAGCGCTGTAATAACAAAATCCACCTGACTCTCATTTTAGTCCGTTTACCTACATAATTTGACTTCAATTAATATCTTTTTTTATTGGTTTACAGATAATATCTCATTTTCCACCCACACTTTATAATGGAACAGATAGCATATTCCACAATGGCGCCATATTCAACCTTAAAATGAACAAAATAAAATGCAAAATTCCATAGAGATTCACAGTTCTTTTGTCTGAGTTGCAGACATAAGATCATTAAAATTATTAAGGTTTTTAAATGTACATTTTTGTGAAAACCCATTAGTAATTTAGTAAATTAGTACTGTTACAACTGTATTCATGTAAACTTATTTTTCTTTGTTCATTTGACAGTCCTTTATTTGTGACTTGGAAGATCGGGAAAGAGCACCGTCTAAGGGGATGCATTGGGACCTTCAACGCTATGCACTTACATTCAGGTAGCAGATGTTACCTGTGAGAATGTGTTAAAAGTATATAAAAAATAAATAAATTAACAATAATTTTATCACTTAAAATTTATAATGTAGTTAATAAGATATTTTTTTGTATCCCTAACACATTCTCATGGTATTAAGAGTTAAAATTGAAAATGTAATTTAAATTATAATTCATACAACAGAATATATAATAATTACACGATATAGGAATGTCATTAATAATCTTAAAAAAAGTTTAGTTCTAACTTTATGGCTATTGTTTTTTTTCTCATTACTGACCATTATACCATCACACATTATACAGAAAGCCCAACATGAACATTGTCTACACTCTCCCACACTATAACAATCATAATTTCACACTTAATGTGAATTGGAACCTCAACAAGTTAGTTGCAATGTGGGTTCTCTGCCTCATGCAGCTACACCCTATGACCTGCACATCGAGGTTATCATCCCTAAAGGCTTTTGTTTCTGACTTTACATTATTAGAACCACTTATATATTAGTTATGTAAACAGACTTAAGTTTGTGTTTTACAGTAACAATATTCAAATACTCCGATCCAATTTTTTTTTGTTATAATACACCAAATCGTATACTATTTCAGGCCTGCGTGAATATGCTATTACAAGTGCTCTGAGAGACTCTCGATTTTCTCCTATAACAAGAGAGGAAGTTCCGCGGCTCTCTGTCTCGGTGTCAATCCTGCAGCATTTTGAAGAAGCTGAACATTACCTTGATTGGAAACTGGGCAAGCACGGCATCCGCATAGAATTTGTCAGTGAGCGTGGAAGTAAACGTACGGCTACATACTTACCTCAAGTTGCTACTGAGCAAGGTTTGTTTTTTTATTTATTGTCAGACAAGAAAACACTTAAAATCTTAAAGCTATTTGTGAACATGCATCTTTCCCATTGTTGTTAATATCTTGATATAACTTAGGGTCACCGAGGCCATGTGAGCTTAAATAAAAAACATGTTCATATTACGTTTGTTTGCTTTCAACACAATCTGTCTCAAAGTACTTGGCAGTTTGTATAACTGGTTGATCTAAATTTCAATGTAAATTAATTGTTTAAGCTGTCGATTTTGATCCTAATAGTAATCAATCAACCTGTTGACGAACATCTATAGCAACACTGAACTCACCAAGAATGATGTACAAATCAATTTGTAAGTTAAGCATGTTAGATAACTGGAAATGCACACATTCATTAAAAAGATAGTTTTATGAATTTAAACTATATGTGCATTCATAGCTGTTTTAAATTAAACAGACATTATGAGATTAGATTAATCTACAGTCACTGAACAGTTAACCAGGTCAGAAAACATTAGAAATAGAAATTGTGTATCTCAGGATTAGGGTAGAATGGAAATTTATGATGATATTTTATTTAGCTACTGTCTCCAAAACAAACTATGGCTTAATGTATACAATAATATTGTTATTTTTCACAGGTTGGGACCAAATACAAACAATAGATTCTTTACTAAGGAAGGGTGGTTACAAAGCTGCAATAACAGCAGATTTGCGACGCAGCATCAAACTAACTCGATATCAGTCTGAGGAGGTTTCCGCCTCATACACTGATTATGTGAACCGGCGTTGCTAACGCCCGCCATTCGAGAGCCCTTACTACGGAGCTCTCAACGCTGGCAACTCTACATCTAATGTTGCTTGTGGATCCATCAGTGTTCGACAATTGAATCTATCGACCTGTCTCCTTCCTGGTCAGTCACAGTTTTGCTAGCATTAACTGGTACATTGACCTGTCTCCCGTGGAAGTTTTTATCTTGCTGAAGATCCTAGAGTTGCAGAATAAATCAGATAATAGAGTAATTGAGATAATTTGTGTTTCTATAAAATGCTGTCGATAGTTTTCGGTGGGACACTGATAAAAATATGACTTTTGAACTGCTATGGTTGTTGTAGTAATTACAATTAATGTAAGTTTTGTTAGTATAAATATTGGTTAGTGAGGTCACAGCTTCCGAGCTCTGTGAGATGCACTCTTCCATTGTAAACGGATCTTAATAGTTAAATAATTATGTGTAATAATAATATAGATGCTTAAAGTGCAAGAAGTGGTTGAAAAAAATCAGATTTAAAATGAAGAAATCTAATATTTCATTAGATTGACTTGTTGAAAACAGATGTTTTTATAATTAAGTCAATTATACTTTGTATAATTAAACACTTACTGCAATCTATTAATTGTGGAATTATATTCGTTTGCATACATAAAAGATCTCTTAAAAACGACTCATTAATTTCAAGTCTTGTACTTACATGAAATTATTAGATAGTAACTAATAGTCGTGGTTAAGCTCTCCATTGAATAAAGGGGTAACCCCGTATCGAGAAATATATAATTGAAAGAAAATATCAGTAATGAGAAATTATGAGATAACTAATCATTCGTTATAAGGTAGGGTTAGGTGGCGAGCTATCGATGTTAGTTGATGTGATCGATCGTTAAATGGCGCACGAGGTTTGTTATCGATAACATATTTTGATGTTTTAATATGTGTGCCTATTAAAAGTATATTATTACAAATTTGTCATTAACTACATCACGGAAGTGCGTAATTATGTAAGCTATGTTTTTATCTAAAATCGTTTTCAAACAGGGTACGTCTATTATAATATTTGATTGTGAAGTGTTGGTTTTTAGCATAGTTTTTTTCATTGATGTGTCAATAATTTCTGTAAAGTTGATCAAATACTCGGAAAGTACCAAGGACCAAAGCAAAATTTATAAAAAAAAAGCTAGTATATTTACAAGCATTTTTTTTATTTAACACGAATAATGCATAGAACTTTAATAGCTGCACACTAAATCGATTAATTAAAGACAATTTAAATTCTATGAAAAGTTAAATAGTATCGAAACATGCTCAGTACATCACTATAGTACCTGCAGACTAATTTGACGGCATCGAACGTAGACGCTCCGGACTTCGGTGTGCTTAGTGCGAGCTTTTTAACGTTCTCGATAGCGTACAAGTTAAATAAAATTTGTATGAACTCGGAACGTTTACCTACGTTTGCCGCTAGGGGCGCTGTAAGTACACAACGCTGCGAACGAAACGAGTGCTCTGAGAAATCGTTTCGAGATAATTCCACGATGTTCATCTTACTTCCGCACCGCTTGACGACGGAGCAGAGTTCATTCAAATTGCTCGGATATGCTGCACACGTATACAGTTCGTTTTTAGAGATAATTTTTGCCACGTACCATCCGGTTCTGCAATGAACTATTAGCAACGGCATTTCTCTTTCGAACGAAATTCCGAATATATTCCTAAACGGTAGGGAGTGCTCAGCTGTGCTCATGGCAGTCTTGCCGTCCATGAGCATATGTGGCACTCACCATCGAGTAGTCTGTATTCCCCCACACTATAATAATTAATTAGTACATAAGCCTTTGATTGCTATGTGGGTCATCGGCACTGAAGTAATGATGTCGATATCTGTTACTAAGGCACCGGAATATCTAGTAGACCTTGGGAGAGACGAATCCGAATATTAAGTACGAATATATTTCAAAGAGACTCGAAATGCTAATACACTTTTTACTGGTGGTAGGACCTGTTGTGAGTCCGCGCGGGTAGGTACCACCACCCTGCCTATTTCTGCCGTGAAGCAGTAATGCGTTTCGGTTTGAAGGATGGGGCAGCCGTTGTAACTATACTGAAACCTTAGAACTTATATCTCAAGGTGGGTGGCACATTTACGTCGTAGATGTCTATGGGCTCCAGTAACCACTTAACACTAGGTGGGCTGTGAGCTCGTCCACCCATTTAAGCAATAAAAAAAACACTAAAAAATAATAGTTAACATATATATAAATAACAATAGCAGTGCTGACGTCCATGAGCATGTGTGGCACTCACCATCGAGTAGTCTGTAGGGTACAAACCTACCTTAATAATTAATTAGCATTTAACCCCAAAGGGCACATGACCATGACCCACATGGCAATCTTAAGTTGCTCACTGAAGTAATGATGTCGATTTCTGTTACTAAGGCACCGGAATATCTAGTAGACTCTGGGAAAGACGAATCCGAATACTAAGTATGAATATTTTTCTAAGAGACTCAAAATACTTTTATATAAAATCCAACTAAAAAATAGAAAATAAATTGTAATAAATTTGAGTTAAAAATGGTGTAAGAAAAAATGATTTAATTGTAAAAAAAGCGTGGGTAGCTTTTCAGGATATTATCAAAATAACCCTTCTACTCACGTCTGTTCATAAAATATTTATAACTACTGATACCACGCGCCCCACGCTTTCTTTTACAATAAAATCATTTTTTCTTACACTATTTTTAATTCAAATTTATTAAAAAAAAATTTCTATATTTTAGTTGGATTTTATATAAAGGGGTATTTTGTTAGTTTTTTTAAACTATTATTTATTTTTAATTTTTTAGTTGAATTCCAATTTTTTTCAAAAAATCATGTTCAAAGATTCCGTCACAAACATACATACGTACGTCTGAAGCTAATAAAAGCGTATTAAAAACAAAAGAAGGCAAAATTATAACAGAAATCCATGTAGGTAATTACTTCAGTGCGCCGCGTAGGACACCGGTGACCCACACGGCTTTTTTTTTCCTACCTATGCTGATAGCCTTGAGAGGCTATATCAGCTTACCCTAGCGTGTATAGGTGTGCTCATGGGGTTCAAGCCGGAGAGTTGCTAACACTGACCCTAGCAAGAGCAGTGCTTCGCAGAATCTACCACCGGATCGGAAACGCGACCCACTGAGAAGATCCGGCGAGAAACTCAGTGGGCTGTGTCTGTGGGTTAATTCGCTCGTCTAGCCCTTCTTCGCAAGCGACGGGTTCGACGAGGACGGTGACCGGTGCTTGTAGTGCCTAAAAGCAACGTTAATGGATCAGGAGGATCCTTGAGGACGTGCTTTCGGCGACGTCGACGGTTTACCATTCGATCTACAGGATCGGGTATGTAGTTTCCAGCGGCCACGACAAGAGGGTTCTCATGTCGTGCCGTCTTCTCGAAGTGGCGCAGCGACGCCGACTGTAGATACTGACTGACGGGGTCGAGCTCCAGGTCATCGTGGAGATCCACGTTCCTCAGGAACCATGGTGCTCCGACGGCTATCCTGCAGAATCGGGATTGAACCCACACGGCAGTCATAGGGTTAAAAAAATATTGATTAGTGTATCTTGTATCGATTTTTACGTTACATTGCTGCCCCCTTATACCAATACGGTTCGTTCTGAGCAATTGATCGTTAGTTACCGGCCCGAAGTCCAAGTTTTGACAAATTCGTCTGCAAGTACTGTACTTTTAAATGAGAAAAGTTCGGTACCATAAAATATAAACACTGCACTAAAATACACAAACATACATTAAATAGACAATATTTGGAGTAAAAATCTTCTAAGTTCAGTATTTACGGTTAAAATAAATTATATCTATTTTTATTACGGCCACACTTACCCATAAATGACATCAAAATATTTTTATCAATAAAGGTAACTATAAGCGGGAAAAGTGAGAAATTCAAATATCGAGATTAATTGTAATCGCATATTAGCATTTACGTCTGTTACGTTTGTTAAATGATGATACAAATGATTGTTTTCTTGTGTATCTTCATACTATGTTTTTAAGAGAATCCTGAAATTTTACATAACTGTTACATTCTGATGAATGCTAACAATTTTTTTTCTGTCAAATAAAAAAAATATTATCGGCTGTATTGGTTTGGAATGTGAATATGGAGGGTAGAACTAATAGAACTGCAGAAGAAACTGGTATTGTTACTTAATCATGAACAAACATATTAAACAACGCGTCTTTTTTTTTAATTAAATTGAAATGTAAACTCCAAGAAAAAAAGTGAACGTAAAGAGTCACGTGTGAATTGTATGGATAAAATAAAAATAATTGTTCACGACTATTTCATTGATGATACTATTTTCGGCAATGACATCCTGATGAAATGCCAATGTCATTTGATTACTTTTTCAATCACTATTCTCTCTTTCGGATCTACTCTATCCTCCAATCATAAAATTGGAACTATCTATTCTTCTAATATATTCACAAACGAGGCTTTAACAAATACTTTTTTCGGCTTTATCTTAAAAATATAGTAAGTATTGTTGTTTTGATAGATAGGCTAGGAGTTATATGAAAGAATTAACTTTTTACGAATGACGAACTTGGTTAGTTAAAAATAATAGGGATGATCGATGTTTAATTATTGGACTTGTCTCCGACATCACACTTCACAATTTACATTTTCTTAATGTTACACACATTTATGTAGTACGGCTTACTTCGATTACGTCAATCAGTGTCATCTAGTTTAAAATAGTTGTACTAACTAGGGACTCGCTAGCTAGAAAGTACATCCACTATTAGATGGCCCTAAAAGATATATGGACGTTTCGATAATTCGATATTTTATTCTCATAAAATCGATGTGTCGATGTTATCGAAACCAAAACATCGATGAATATCGATCAACCCTAAAAAATAGTTCGTTGGCCCCAGGAAAAATTTAAATTTGCAGTAACCACTGTTCAAATTATTTCAATGGTTTTAAATTGGGTCTGTTGTTATAATAACAATGATAGTCGAAGTAACATGAGTGTTGC